GAGGCCCCGGAGCGGAGTCCCCAGCGCGGCGACCGCGACCCCGGCGCGCCGAGCCGGCCGCGCGGCGCCTCTCCTGCCCGTCTCAGCAGCCAGGTACGGGGCCGCTTTGCCTGTCGTCTGCGGGGAGGCGCGTTGGGCTTGCTCAACAGCTTCCTTTGTCTTTGTTTGATGATGATGATGATGATGATTGTTCTCTGTTAATAAGAGCGTAGGTCTCTTCTCGCTGCTCCGGGAGTTGTGCGGTGCAAGGCGTTCACGGGAACTGCAATGGGCGCTGCTTAAAGCGGCAGTCCCGGTGTGCGCGGGTAATTACCAAGCCCCGTCCCAAAAGAAGAGGGACCTGCAGACGGRTCGAGCATTGACCTGATCGCGGGGGGCTCTAATAGGCGAACAGAGGCGCCTTTCGGTCAGGGCCGAAAAGCAGGTTAGCCCGGCCGGGGGAGGAGGCAGGCGGCACGGTGCGGGTTTTTGCTGTCGCCGCGGCCCCCGCTCCGCTCGCGCAAGTTTCCGCAGGCGCGCGGGCACCGGGCGCTGCCCTCGCTGCGCGGCGCGCCGAGCGGCGCCGCGTTACCGCGCGGGCGGCCCGCACGCGAAACAAAAGCGTGTGACACCCCCGCCCTCCCCCGCAGGTAACGCGCTGCTGCAAATCAGGTGCGTTGCCTGCCCGTCTCCGTCAGAGCTGCTTGGGAAGCYGCGTGGGCGGGAAAGGAAGGGCCTCTCCTCGGGCCGGGAGGAACCGAGCCAGCTCTCGGGACTCACTTCTGGTACCGGGCAGGCGGCGGGGGGCTCCTCGGCAGCAACTTCTGCCAAGAGGTGTCCCGAGTCCCTCCTCCGAGCCCTGACTCTTGTAATCCACGCGCTCAGCTTTTATCATGTATTTCCGTGTTTGTATAATAGCAGCCATGCTTAATAATGTATAATCATAGAGACATACTCTATTACGTGCTGTACGGGTAGCTGTAGAGCTGCAGACACGCAAAATTCCTGTAGTGTCATATAACACTTAAATGTGGGATTGCGGGCTCCGTCCTACAAATTGCTGATTACATCCTCCAGGTGGCTCACCGCCCTTAGGTTCAAGTTCAATACACTTGAAAGCTTTAATCACTCTTTTGGAGTGATTAAACTCAGAGGGTTCCCCCCCAGTGTTTAATGCGCCTAGGTGTTTTTGTTTGTTTTGTTTTTGTTTTGGTGGGGTGGAGGGAGGRAAAAAAGCGTGCTGGGAAAGAGCGAACTTTCTTTTGGAAAGTACTCATGTTGTTTCTGCTCTACTTGAGGGGAAGAAGAAATATATATACCCTTTAAACGGGTCTGCAAAGCAGCAATTCTTCCCCCTCCCCGCAAGAGGAAGGAGGGGGAAGTCAGTTCTTGTAATTGCTCATTTTGCTTCTATAAGAATAACGATCTTGGTTAAACTACGACTGTGATAGAGCTYGTGGAAGAATCGTTTGATTCCTCTCGCGTTTTCGATTGCAATTAATCCGTTGATACCTTTATAGTTGGAAACCCCTCGTTCGTTTTTGAGGCCAAACTCACTACTCTCATTAATACAGCAAATACGAATTTAACGTCTTTTTTTTAATGCGAAGATACTGCATGATTCAGGACACACATGAGGGTCCTGGCTTTCAGGTGTGCCACAAATGAAATCCGAATTGTGTGTGTAAACAAACGCAAATTAACGGACCTTCTCGCTGTCGCCGAAATCAAAAGGATTTTATGTTTGACTTCAGTAGGAATAGAATTTTACCTAATTTTATACAGTTCGAAAACTCGAACACATGCAGTCAGGGACTGTTAGGAACTTCTCGTTTGGTTACTTAAATACGTGTTTATTACATCATCACATTCAAACTTTTAAAGAACGTACCAAACTTCCTATTCTGGAGACTCTACTCAGTTCTTCCCCCCACAACGTCATTTGAACTAATGAAAGTTTTGCACGAATGTCTTCGCTTATTCAAATAATGAAGGGAAAATTAATATTACTTAAATATATCGTGCACTTCAATCGATTTAGTTTTGTAAAGAGAAAGGCAAAGTGTATGTCTTTTTTTTTTTTTTTTTTTTTTTTTATATTGTTTTTTTAAGTCAGCAAGTACAAGAGATAGGCTTGGGATCTCTCCTTTTAAGCCAATAGCTACGCAGCCTTTCAACCCGATCAGCTGGGCCAAATTGTGCCCTTTAAAAGCAACCCTGCCCGTTTCGGTGGCTTTAGAATCAATTTGGTGGGCGTTCTGTACATATTAATGACTTTATTCTTATTTTTTTTCCNACTGAATTCCCCAGTAACTTCAATGGGGAGTCCTCCACACACACTGATGCTTTGATGGAGCACGTACCTCCTGAGCACTGTGATTATTTTACTTTGGTACTTGCACTGTTTGGCCGGATAATTTTTAAAGAGTGGCCTACTTTCTGCTTACAAATGCAGGTGTGCGATCTGCAAGGGAGTTCTGAGGAGCGAAAGTCATTGGAGAGAAGACGGGAATAGAATTAAATCGCTACACATCGCTGGAATAATTAAGCGGCACTTTATCCCCGCACATGTAGCGTGCCCCTCTTGGTGAGACTTTGATTCTAATACATATCTTTCTTTTAACTGCTATTACTGAAATGGAAAACAATTAGACAATTTAGAGATAAACAGTTTAAACTTTTATAGTTTTTTTTTTTTTCCTGTTACATCGTTTTGAAAACGCTGCCGAATAGTTCTCTTCTATCTGCCCCTTTTTTTTTTTTTTTTGTTGTTGTTTTTTTTTTTTTTTTTTTTTTTTTTTTTTTTTTTTTTTTAAGTCTGCAAGTACAAGAGACAGGCTTGGGATCTCCCCTTTTAAGCCAATAGCTACGCAGCCTTTCAACCCGATCAGCTGGGCCAAATTGTGCCCTTTAAAAGCAACCCTGCCCGTTTCGGTGGCTTTAGAATCAATTTGGTGGGCGTTCTGTACRTATTAATGACTTTATTCTTATTTTTTTTCCCCGTTCGAATTCTTAGAACTCAACAGCAACTCATCTGAGATCCCTGGAGCTGGCTTGCCCAGAAAGAGCTGAACTGATATCTGAAGATTGAAAGCAATATTCATCACTTTATATATACATATATTTATATATATAAAAGAAAACTAAGACGATACTGCTGTGTATCTAGTACTGCTCTGAAGAATAACTCTGAGTGTGAATACATTTTGGAAAAAAAAAAACAGATTGCAGAACAATGGATGGTCCAGACAAGAAAGTGAGTACATCTAATCATGTATCAGTTTATAGACAGGGGAAAGAAAGAAAGAAAGTGTAAATTCCACAGCTTGAGTAATATTTTGCTTGCTTCAGGCATGTTATAGAAAGTATATGGAGACAGTTGTTCTAATATTAACTTGTGTTAACTGAAAGGAGGACAGTTATATCATTTTAATTTCTCTTTTGAAAATAAGTAAGTTAGAAAGAAAACATTTTGTTGATCATTAGAATTCGATATATTTTATTTAAATAATATTTTTCTACTTATTCTGATCCGTCTGCTTGTTTACTGTATTAATCACTTATATAACACTGAATTGATATAAAATTAAAGATGATTTTAGGCTTCTGAGCATAATATTAGGCTTATATGATATATTTCACAGTATCTTTTGGTTATCCTAAAGCATCAAAAATATATATTTTTTTTAGTGCAAACTCTTAGTAATTAATTTTACTTAAATGTCGTTAATACAGTTGCTCAGTAAATTGTTTGTTCGAGTGCGGTATATATGAGGTTAAAGTCTCCCAAAACACGTCAAATTTGACATAATTAACTTTTTTTTCCTGGTCTATATAAAACCGAAAGTTGCATAACCTTATAGAAAGCCCAGGTTGGCTGATGTGCTGATCTCTGCTCCAGTTATMTGGCAAATCATATTTTGCCGTTATTTATATTACAGAGGAAAGGAGGCTTAGAATGATGCCATATCTGCGGCGCAAATTGCCAGCAAATTGTGCAAGATATAACAAKTACAAATGCAGGGATTTTATTTCAGACGAGGTCTACTGGGGCGTTTTCCTGCCGCATCGCTTCTGGCGGGTGTAAATGCGAGTCCGTTCTCGCCTGTCGCTGGATCTTTGAGAGAAACAGAGCGATCCGCCGAAGGACCCTGCGGCGCGGGAGCCAGAGGTGAGAGGAGTGCGTCCGCAGCGCTGAAACTTGGCGCCGGGTCGGCCGGCAGCCCCTCGCAGCTCGGCGTGCGCGCAGGGCGCCGAGGGCGCTGCACCCTAAAGGGAAAGGGCCCGCGGTGCCGTGAGGCGCGCGGCCCCGGCCCGCGGCGGCAGCGCCGAGCGCACCTTGCGCCGCGTCCACGTGTGGCTGCGCTCGCCCCGGCTGCCACGCTGTGCTGGTCGAGACCCTTTTAATTAATTATTAGCATCGTCGGGAGTGGTAATATTAATGATAGCGGAGAGGACAGGGGAGGCGCGCCCGGGGAGGACGCGTGTCCCACTTGTGCCCCGGGCAGCAACTGCACGCGCGGCATGGAAGGGCAAGCGAGCCGGCACCACGGGCTGCACGGGCAGCGCAGAGCCGCCCCCCCATCCCCTCTTTGGCCTCCCCCYCATCCCCAGGTTCCCCATTCGGGGTGGGAGGGGGAGATGAGTGGGTGGGAGATGCTGAGGGAAAGGGGAGGGGGGAGCCCACGTTGCGGGGCAGCACCCGTGGTCGCCCCCTCCCTCCATTGCCCCTTCTCTCTTCCTCTTCTGGCTGCCGCTGGGTGAGTAGGGCTGCATCCCCAAGTCCCCAGTAACGCCTACGCGGCCGGGAGCGGTGGAGCGGTGAGTAGCGGGGCACGGGGCGGCCCCAGCCGCCCCCTCAGGGCCCGGCTCCGCGGCGATGTCCCCGCACTCCAGCTGGATCACCCAGGGCGGGGAGAAGGGACACAGGGTTGGGAAGGGACGCCAGGGACAGCCCTGAGCGCCAGTGCCCTCACACCGCCTTGCGTCGCGGCTCCTCGGCCTCTTTCCCGGCCCTCTGCGGCACTTTGGTCTCCTGAAGACACGGGGAGAAAGTTTAGCGCGGGTGCGAGGGGTGCAGCAAGGCCAGAGGCAGCGGTGCGAGGCTGCAGGGCGAGCTGGCGAGGCCGTTCCCCTCGAGCAGGGAGGGACGTCGGCCGCGAATCTCCCTTTCTCCCCACCTCCTCCATCCTCCATTTCTTTCTTTTTTTTTTTTTTTCATTTATTTTATTCTCCTCCCCATTCCTACTGTTAATGACAAATTTATTTACCCGAACAAAGACCATTGGATTACGAGGCTGATCACCTGATGGCGACCTACCTATGGGCTCGTTAAACAGCCACACGCGTCTCCGCAGCACGTGCGGGGCGGGACGTGGCTGCGCGCGGGCCCGGCCACCCGCGCCCACGCTTGCATCGCACCGCACTTGTGTGTGTGCGCGCACAGCGCCCGGCCCGCAGCTGCCCGCCAACCGCCCCGATACGCGAGGGCCGCCTGACGGCTCCCGCTGCTGCTGGCGGTGTGTGCGCGCTGGGCCGGCTCCTGCCGTGCCCGCCGCTGCACCCGCGAGCGCTCGTGGGGGACAGGTGGAGGAAATAAAGGCTCTGCTTAGTGACCCTCGCAAAGCAGGTTGTCCTCAGAAAGCCTCGCAAATCAGTGGGTGTGTTTTAGCCCCTCGATACATTTATTGCTGCTCTCTCTGGGTTTAATCTGGGGGTGTGTAGAGGAGGAGGAGGAGGGCTCGCGTTCTGCAAAGGTAGGTCAAGGTGCGGCGGCCTCCTCATCTTCCCGCTCGGTGCGGCTACAACTGGAGCTTCTGCGCGGGCCGTTCTCGGCGTTTTCCGCAGGATGCGGCCACCTTGAGTGCCCCGCCAGCTGTACGTTGGCTTGGCCGCTGCACGCGACGCGTTTGCGTGTCCTGCTCCACGCGGGGGTGGATGTGCTGCTCAGGAGCAGCTCAGATTCTTGGACCATTCATTGCTGCGGAAAAGCTCGGAAAAAAAAAAACAGAGGAGAAAGGAGGGGGACTCGTGAGGCAAGAGGCTATAAGGATTTTGTGTGCTTGGAYTGCCTGGTACCCTGGGGTATTTTGTTAAATGAGTAGCGCCTGTGTTACTAGACACACGAAAGAAAGAAATACAGCAGGAGGAGGCCGAAACCTTTTGCTAGATGGGCAGTGCGCGGGACTCTGCTCTAACGGGCAACGTTTCGGTGAAGGGGCCGCGAGCTGCCCGGGGCGTCCGCCTCGCCGTGGGAGCCACATCCGTGTGTCTGTCCGTGCTGCGCCTCAGGGGAGATGCGCCAGTCCGGGGGAGGGGGGCACGGCGGCGTGGCAGGGGCAAAAGCGGGGTCCGTTGCTGTCGTCGTGGCGTCGAAAGGCTCGCGCGCGCTCCCCGGCGTCGCTAAAACAAAAGAACAAAACCCGCCGCGGAAAAATGCAGCAGGCGTGAGCGGCGCGTGGGAGCCGCGCCCCGGGTGGGGCGGCGCGAGCCGCGCTCGGAGACCTGCTCGGACCTGAAGGCACCGCTCGCTCGCCKTTATTTGAATTCACGGTTTTGTTTTCCGCCTCTCTAGGCGGGACGGTTTTTCAAGTGTTRTAGCGGTTGCGGTGAATAGACACACCTTTTCTAAGGAGAAAACCTCGGTGTCGTTATGCTATTCAGGGCGAGCGCATTGTTACTGGTCATAAAAATTGAGAACAAKTTAGCCACAATTTGTTTATTTGCCTTAATATATTTTTCGAAAACGCGGTGGAAGAGGCCCTGCGTTTGCGTTATGCACAGCAGGAAAGTTAAAATTTCAGAAACGTGGTATACCCCTTTGCAGGGGCAGATAGCAGCCATGCTAATTGTAAAAATCCCTCTGTAATGGACCTGTGCCCACCCTTTCCTAACGCACTGAGGGAAACCACGTCCCGCAGGTGCCGAAACGTCCTTGGGAGCCGCCGCGCTATCCGCCTGCCGGAGGAGCCCGCCGGGAGCCACCACCAAAATTCCTAGAATTGTATCTGGGAAATCATTTACCGAAGCACCCTGGCCTTCGTTATGCGGGGGCCGCATAACGAACTCCCAAAATACCAACAGTAGCAGCAAAAAAAGTGGCGTTTAATCCAATCAAATGTAACCTCCAGCTTGTCGGGTGGGTGTCTTCCCGAGCAGCCTAACACGATTAGTGCACTCTTACCGCAGTTCAGGCTTGCAAAAACTACCTTTTGGCAATGTTAACCTGACCCTTTTCTTTTAATGATTTTTCTTAAAAAGAAGAAGGGGGAATACGATTCAGGTGCMACGTGAGGGAAAAGCTAGGAAGTATTTCCAACCACGACTTCTCTGCAGAGTCTAAAGAGAAACTAAATAAGGGGGCCGCTCTGCGGGGACAAATGGAAAAATGGCCCTGTGCTTRGAATATTACTGCCTTCCTCCTCCTCCTCCTGCCGCCTCTGCAGTCCCGCTCGCTGCAGGCGGGAGCCCCTAACGCCGGCGGGGTTTCCGTCCCGGCGAGCGGCGGGGCGCGGAGCAGGAGGCGATGCTGCCGGCGCCGCCTGCGCGCCGCGCTCGGGAGCGCGGGGCCGTCCCGCGCCCGGGCCCGCTGCGCTGCGCGGGGCACCGGCAGGTGTCGCTGTCCCCCTGCCGGCCGCGGCCGCAGCGCC